GGGTTTTTCGCCCATCCAACGATTCGATCACTAGGTTCTTGGCGCACCGTCCTTCTAGTTTGGATTTACCCGCGCATGTTTTTAGAGTGTACGAAGTGGCTTCGCCATCTATGCTTAACAAGTCAAATAGTTTTGGTTTGGCAAGGGTACAATTACTTTGATCGTCGATAACGACGTAAGCTTTGATCTTTTTCTCTGGATGAGTCTTGGAATAAATGTTGGCCAGGCATATTTTTGAGCAGGATCGCCCACCGTGTTCGTTGCCACAGAGCTCAGTACACTTTGCTGTGGCTTCATTCTCCCTGCCGTGACTTGGTGGATCTCGACTTTGGCGGTTGTCAGCGTTCGGATCTTTTACTTCGGGTTCCTTTTGCTCCGGCGACTTTCCCGCATGCATGATTGTTAGATGTTTGTCACTTTGACACTCCAAGCACTTTACGGTACTGCGACAATCCTTTGCTACATGGGTTGTTGAGGCCACACAACGAAAGCATATTCGGTTCTTTCTCAGCAGGTTTTTTCTGTCTTCAAGTGATTTGCCTCAGAAAGCTCTGCACTTGGCTAGGGGGTGCGGTTTTTCATGGAGGACGACACACCATCTGATGGGATCGCAGGTTAGATTCTTTCTGCGACTTTCTTCTTCGTCGGCGATTTCGGTTTTGTATGTTTGTCTTTGCCTCGAACCTAAATTCCTAGACTGATGATTTTCCTTTCCGAGAACCTCCAAGGTCAAATTCGGGTCATTTCTCTCAAGCGCAAGGTTTTGCACGAATTTCGAAAATTCTTCAAAGGGAGGGTACTCTACTCCGTGGCCGGTCTTATAACGAAAAGCATGGCGTTGCCATCGTCCTTGTACGTCCCCCGGTAACTTGGCTATTATGGGTTTAATGTACATGGCTTCGTCGAGGATTCTAAGACCTGGTAAACTACCGTCACTTTTGGCGCATTGTAGCTCTAGCAAGAGATCACCTAGCTCTTGTAACTTTCTTGCGTCTTTATAGTCAATTTTCGGAAAATCCGTGAGCTTGTCCAGATATGCTTTAGTTATAACAATACTGGTTCCGAAACGTTCGTCAAGTTTCTTCCATACCTCTATTACACCCTTTGCTGGATTTTTAATATATGCACTGCGCAACTGCTAAACAAGTTTTTTAGAGTTCTTGGTGGTGTGCTCGGTTTTAACGAAAGTTCCTCGCTTGGCGTAATGTTGACATGTCTAATCATATTCTGGAAAGATTCCTTCCAGACATGATAGTTCCCTGGTTGGTCATCAAACTTTTCTATTTTGTTAGCTATTAACTCCCGGCGCGCCATAAAATCGATGTAGGACTTCATAGTATCTTGACCTGGCTCCGAGGGGGGACTGGTCCGAGTGGTAGGGTGGAACGCACTTGTCGTGGGATCTAAGGGTTGGGAAGGTTGGGCAGCGGTATGTTGTTGTTGGAAAGGTTGGGCAGCGGTATGTTGTTGTTGGAAAGGTTGGGCAGCGGTATGTTGTTGTTGGAAAGGTTGGGCAGCGGGATGTTGTTGTTGGAAAGGTTGGGCAGCGGGATGTTGTTGTTGGAAAGGTTGGGCAGCGGGATGTTGTTGTTGGAAAGGTTGGGTAGCGGGATGTTGTTGTTGGAAAGATTGGGTAGTATCGATATTATCTGGTGTAAATTCGTACTGGTTTTCAAGGTAATTATTTACCTTTTGGTCAACGTGTTCTTCAGGCAGATCTAATCCTTGAGGATCAGATATTTCTAGTTCATTCTCTATAGCGGTGACTTTCGCGACGGCAACTGCCGCTTCTTCTTCTAAACGCAATTGTTCTAACCGGGCTTTTTCGTTTATTTTTTGGCGCGACAATGCTAATTCCTGTTGTTGTATTTGTAACGCTAATTGCGACTCAATTTCATTTCGTTTCTTTTGCAATTCTGCTTTCTTTATAGCTGCTGCAGCATCCCCTCTTGCTTGCGCACGTAATGCGGCCGACGAGGCTGACGATGCGCGAGAAGATGCGCGAGAACTTAGGCGAGCAGAACCCATTTCAGCGGTTAGTTCCTTCTTTCGTTCATTACCTTCCGCGACCACAGTGTCAACATAATGTTTATGATAATCAAGAATGTGTTCTATTTTCTCTCGCTCTTCAATACATTCTAGCGTGCCCACACGTACAAGATAATCTATGTACGAGACTATAGACATATGGTAATTATGAAATGCTGCACGTACCTTCGATATTGCAAACCGTATTTGTGGTATTGAGTCTGGCGTTGTTTGTAATGTTGTTATAGCATTTTGCACTTTATCCCATAATTTTGTCGTTTTAAATTCTTCGGTTTGCATCCGATTTTGGACAGATTTGAGCGTAGGCTTTGTTTGTCTTTTTGGCCTTGTTATAAGGCTTTGACTGTCTGTATTTTCTGTATTTCCTTCGTTGAGAAACAGGTCTGATAGAACAACTTGCAGCAAGTCTGTTGAAATCAACAGGTCTGTTCCAACTTGTTCCAACAGACCTGTCGCGAGTTGTTTTTGTCAAGTCTGCAGCAAGCTTGTTATTAGACCTGCGACAGACCTGTCCACAACAAACAATTTTTGTCCTGTCACAACAAGTTTCAACAAGCCTGTTGTTGGGAAACAAATCGAAAATGTGAGCAAAGAGAAAAATCGCACGAAATGGACACGTCCGGCTTCACTTTCTCATTCAAGGCAATATTAAATCACATGCAGAGGAGATGAGGCTATGTGCACACGGTAACGTTTTCGAGCGTTTTCACGCTAAAATGGATGCAAACACTATCAATTTCGAGATCAATTTAATACAACAGAAGCTGTAGTTTATTTAATATATTGGAGATATATTTTCCTTTGGATCGTGTGAACAGGGTGTCAAAACGATTAAAGGAAAAAAAGGTTTTGAAAACGCTGGAAAACGACGCCCGTGTAAACATAACCTAGTCAACCTAAGTATCTACTCTGTGATTATTAAAATGCAAAAGCCGCTGCCGCTGTTTTTAACTTTTTATATTTTTAAAAAATAATTCCGATATCCAAAATCCAAATTGCTGACGTGTGCTATCGTTATATTTCTTTAATCTGATTGGATAAAGGCGTGTGCACACGTCATCATTCCTCGTTGCAATTGGACGAAATATACAAACATATCAATCACGTAATCATATTTAGTTGTTTTTTAATTTTGAGCCAAACAAAATTTCGACAACTGCCTCAAACAAAATCAAACAAGTTCAAAGCTGTGGAAGAAACTGGCAATGAGAATACAAGATCTAGAGCTTAGGAAATAAAAAATACACGAGCAACCGAGTGTTCACTGCAACGTTCTTCATTGTTCAAATGAATATGAAATTCGTTATATACAATGATTTCTTTCCAATTTCAAGTGAAATCAGCGGGCGAGGAAGACGCCTTATTGAAGCTTTGTGTTATTGTATGTACTATTTTGAAGAAAAATATGCAAGTAGGTTGTCATATTTCGGTCGTACTTAAAGACCAATTAATTTTGAAAATTGTTTACGATAAGAACCTTTCTTGAATTTGTCGTATTTTTTCGGCTGTTTTGATCAAAAATTATCTCGCAAGTATGTTTATAAGTGTTCATATGAAAGTCTGGCTATTTCACGAAACACTACAACCCAAATATGGCAACCTGTTTAGCCGTTTTTGTTCAAAATAGTGAATACACAAGCTTCATAAGGTGCTTTCCTCGGTTTGCAACAGGTCTGTCGCAAGTTGTTGAAAACAGCATTGCTGCAGCTCTGTCAACAACTTGCGACAGGCCTGTTGAAAACAGCATTGCTGCAGCTCTGTCACAACAGCTTCTAACAGACCTGGTGAAAACAGCATTGCTGCAGCTCTGTCACAACAGCTTGTAACAGACCTGTTGACAGGCCGTTGCGGACCTGTCAGAACAGACAGGTACAAGGCGAGCGAACGCATCCAGATATCGGCTTATTGACAACAGGATTTAACAGATCTGTTGTAGATCTGTTCCGACTTGCGCGTTTCTGGCTGTGTAGCATGCATCAGCAAAAATAAATAGTTTATACCTTTAGTAGAAGCACTTGAAATACAGCTTTAAAATCAACTGACATTCACGGCGACGCGGCGGAGGAGGGGAAAGGAGACAAGGTTGGCAACTTCCTTTGGCCAAGCTGCACGTATAATCATAAACAAACCCGTCTAACCATAGGCTGCCCAAAAGTGCGTGTTGTAATTTGTACCTTCGCGCGTGGCGCTCGGGCATGCATCGAGTCTACTCAGTTTATTATTATGACATAATAATAACTCAGTTTATTATTATTATGTCATAATTGAATCCAGTGACAATTACGCTTATCCAATAGACCTTTCCCTTTATAACCAAAATTTTGATCTAGGCAAGTCTAGATAAATATTTCATCACAGCTTGAAAGAGCATCACAAAATTAGTAATATTCCAAAGTTTCGTTGCGAAATGTTGTAAAATGAGGAAAATAGAGCCTTGCGAAGTTTGCAATTTTCAGTCATTTTGCATTGCAAACGGGAAATTGCAGCCCCAACACCCGAATCGTATGTCAATTTCCCGTTTGTAATACAAAATGACTGAAAAACGGCAAACTTCGCAAGGCTATATTATCCGCATTTTACAAGATTTTGCAACAAAACTTTGGAATATTACTAATTTTGTGATGCTCTTTGAAGCTGTGATGAAATTTTTGTCCAGATCGAAATTTTAGTTATAAGGGGAAAGGTCCATTAGGCGCGAGATTTCAATTTCAAATTTACCGTTTGTGAACCGTGTTTACCTCGCGCCTAGTCACATCGTAAATTTTGAGTGGAGGCCATGGTTGAAGTGAAATTTCCGCAGAGGGAAACTTACAAATTTTGAAAGGACTACATTGTTGGAAAGCAAGATAGTTGTTTTATCAGCTTTTGTAGAATTTTCGGTTGAGCTTTCCGTATTGTTGAATTAGACAGGTGGTTTGTTTATGATGATACGTGCAGCTTGGCCAATGGATGTTGCCAACCTTGTCTCCTTTCCCCTCCTCCGCCGCGTCGCCGTGAATGACAGTTGATTTTAAAGCTGGATTTCAAGTGCTTCTATATACTAAAGGTATAAACTATTTATTTTTGCTGATGCATGCTATGTACTTATAAGTATATTTCCTTCAACGATAAGTATTGATTAGTGATACATTTTAGTGTAAAAATTCAGAATATTTTTGAGCTAATCCTTAACATTATTATTTTGAGGTCGAAACTGCAGGGGGTAATTAAGTATGCCAGGCATTTAAATTTAAATCGCACAGTGTGTCTGGGCTACCAATGTTTGTTAAAAAAAAACAATAATCGTGTTGCCATGGCTAACATGACGTGAGCAACGCGAGCCTGCGTCCAGTGCTGGCGTAATTACGAATACTTCACGTTGAAACAATGTTTGGAAAATATAGGTGAGGGGTTGTTGCATGCATGTATTTCTAGTTTCTGCATCATAAATTTCCATAGACCACAGAATAGTTGACAATATTAGGACAGGACGAATGATGGCGACTACAGTCATATCAACACAAGTACGAATATCCACCATTTTGGGTGGCATCCAATTCTCGTTAACCAATGCAGACAACTAAAACAATGTGAAAAGCATTTTTTCAAAATAAACTAACCATTTACAAAGCAAATTTACCATCATTTGTCAAAAAAATTATAAAAAGTCGCTGTTATGTGGACTTATCTCGCAGACTTCGGCTGAAATGCCACCCAAAAATGGCGGCGTGAGAAAGGCTAAGTGGTTTCTTTTAAGAGCCTTGGAATAAAGGGTGTACTTCAATATGACAATATTACAAAATTACATGCAGCTGTTTTAAATTATTTATGAATGAGCTCGGTGTGTATGGAGTCTTTCTAATTTATTTCCATAACCATTGTGCATCAGAACACATTTTGAAAGGAAAACCAGGAAAAATCTACATGGACGAGAGGACTTAGAATGGATCCAAACACTTTTGTTAACGCGCCATTTCAGTGTCTTGTGAATGTTGCCTTCATGGTTGCAGGAATAATTCTGAATGCTGTGGTTATAATCAGTCTATGGAGGTCGTCACAACTTCGAAACAAACTATGCTACTTTATGATTCTTCTTTTATCTTGTTTTGATATGGCTGCAGTCGCCATCGTTCATCCTGTCATAATATTGTCAACTATTCTGTGGTCTATGGAAATTTATCATGTAGAAATTGAATACACACGGATAAACACAAATATTATCTTGGGAGGGTTTTCAATGTTTGCGCTATTAACGCTGATTATCGAACGATTCCTGGCCCTAACCTATCCATTTTTTCATCAAACCACCATAATAAATTGGGTCTGGTTTTCTTTAAACGGCTCATATATCTTGAGTTTACAAGATTATGTAGCATTATTATTCGGAGTATGTTTTTTCTTGAAATATTCTGCTGGTAAAGAATTTTAAGCAATTATTTGTTTCCATTCTATTAATGTACGTTCGACTGCTTTGCAGAACTAAAGGATCTCGTCTTCTTTTTTAAATGTAAGCACGGTCTCTTCGACCTAGATATCTCCTCTTTCGTCACTTTTTCTTCAAACAGCTCGTCTCACACCCGTTCAAGTTGGGACAACTTGCTTCGTGTCAATCATTGCAGGACTTCTCTCTTTAGGAACTCTTTTTTCAACCGAATTGTCTTTCTCTGGAATAATCTCTCTCCCACCATTCGTAATAGTTCATCCGTTTCCTCCTTTCAAAACAGACTAACTGTCCATTACTCTTCTCTACTTCATTCATCTTTCGATGTAAACAGAATGCGCACTTGGAAAACCTTCTGTTCTAAGTGCCGCTCTTTCAACTTAAGCTGTTGTTCGTAATTCGTCATGTTTTCTGTAAATTTTATATTTGTTATCGTCTTTGATTTATGTTTGTTATAGTTTGTTTTCATTAAGGTTGGTCTTCATATGGGGCTATTCATGTCCTGTTGACCATACCTTCAACCATATTATGTAGTGTTTTAGTCTATTTTATGTATGGTTGTAAAGTTAATAAATAAATAAATAAATAAATAATAAATAAGTATGTTCGACTGCTTTGCGAAATAATATTGTCTTATAGCCATAGAGTCGTATTCTGAAATGACTATTCTATATATATATATATATATATATATATATATATATATATATATATATATATATATATATATATATATATATATATATATATATATATATATGATATCACTATTATAGGCGCCATCTTGCTTGATTTTAAACTTTCGTTTTTAATAAACAGCAAAGTAGTTGAGTTAATTTAACATTTTATGGTTTGTTTT